GGTGTCCGAAGTGGTAAAAATATTAGTGTGCGATGTTGTCAATGTACGGAGTGTCTTGTATCCGCCACTATGCCACGGAGACTGCCAAAAAATTACCAAACTACCACCACACTAGTGTCCACAAGGGACACAGGAGTAAACTCAGTACCCAAATTAGCCAATTAGCCACAGAGACATTAGAATTTTTTTTTTCAGTGTCAGAGTAGTTAATAAATGGAATGCGTTAAGCAGTGATGTGATGGAGATTTGATAAGAGCCAAATAGGCTCAAGAATCTGTACATCAGTTGATTGACGGTTGAGAGGCAGGACCGAAGAGCTAAAGCTCAACCCCCGCCCCCCACAAGCACATCTAGGTGAGTACACACCCACCACTAGACAAGGTCACTAAAATAAGACAAGAGAAGGATGGGTAGACTGCATCTTTCTACACTGCCACAAAAGATTTTGATACAGTTCCCCACAAACGACTAACACACAAAATGGAGAAAACTGTTGATAATAGGAGAGGCACTGGACTGGGTATGGGAGCACTTAGATAGGAAGCAAAAGGTCACAGTTCACAAACCCACTGTGCCTTCTTGTAAATAATTAAATGAATAAACAAATAAATAAATAAATAAAAAAGCTTATGTCCAGATGGAGAGGGGGTGTAAAGTGGTGTTTCACAGAGCTCGACTGTCCTAGGACAATGGTCTTTCTAATTAATGTAAATAACCTCGAAGAGGGAGTGAACTCATACATATCGATGTTTGCAGATGGTGCAAAATTATTGAGAAAAGTAAGAACTGAAGAGGACTATACTCTGATGCAAGAAGACCTTGACAACTTCAGGAGTGGGCAGATAAATGGCTGCTGGAGTTCAATGCAAATAGTTTAATGTAATGAAAATGGGTAAGGAAGATAAGAGATCTTTATTTATCATTACAGGCCAGACACTTAGAGCTAGGCTTACTTAAATTTACAGGGGGGGGGGTTAATGGTCTGGGGTACAGGAAGGACATGGGCTGGCCGTGTTCACCAGAATTGAAGAGGGAACAACGTGCCAGTGTCACATTCTTTTTCTGACCACCACAACATTTTTTTGGGCCACTGCCTGCTGGTTACACCCATCAAAATAATTTGAAAACTAAATTTCAAATTCGTTTGTTTTAGAAATATGCACCATTATTCACTGATCTCAGGAAAATTAACAAAAATATTCGCCTACCATTACTTTGCCTGAAATAGCACAAAACTGACAATATTTCATAAGCAACAGCCTCAAAAGCTTTCTCAGGCCCTGCCTCTATGGATTCCATGTCCAATTAATTTATCAAATTCAGGTAGGAGAAAAGCTAACCCCCTCGTGTGATCACAATATTATAAGACAGACTACAAATATAGAAACTCACATAAAGGTCCATGATGATGAATTTCTAGATTACCTATACTATTTGCTGACGTTACAACCTTCATCTTCTCAGACCCCAACCCACACACACTAAATGATGTTTTAAATAACGAATTAAACAAGATCGACTCATGGATGTCAATTAGCAAATCAACAAATGCAATTCAGCTTCAGATAGACAATGTTAACATCAGGAATAAAAATGATGCTAAGTTCCTTGGCCTATACATAGACAAGAGACTCAACTTCAGCACCCACATACAACACATAACCAAAAAGGTCTAAAAATTGGTCGGTATATTTTCTAAAATCAGATATTATGTTCCAAACTCTGCTATCTTCTCATTATACTATGTGCTAATCTATCCCTATCTTACATACATATACATGTATGTAAGATAGGGATATGTATCTGTGCATTGGGTTCAACCACTGCAAATTACCTCAAGCCCATTATCACCCAGCAAAAATCTGCTATCAGAACAATAACAAGCTGTTTCCAAACAACACACAGCCCTCCCTGTTTAAATCCCTCAACATGCTAAACATAAACTCCAAACATTTTCTTATGCCATTTACATGTACAAAACAGTCTTCCTAGATGCAAATCCTGATCTGAAACTCTTCATTGACAGATGCAATGGAACCCATAAGTGCCACACAAGAAATAAATATATCTTTGATATCCCTAGAGTCAAATTAAATCTGTGTAAACTCTCTATGCAAATAAATGGACCTAGTATATGGCACTCACTCCCTAACGAATTAAAATGCTGTCCAACCTGCGCCTTATTCAAAATTAAAACCATAAAGTACCTAATTTCATCCTCATCGTTTCCTACCTTGTGCTTCAAACTCACACTATATCTTGTGCTACCCACTCCCCCAAAATATGTGCCTAAGCCATACAACTTCACCAGTGTATTCACTGCCATCATCTTTTATCATGGTTGTTAAAGTTGAATGCAAATTTTTACTACAATATACTGTACCTAGAAACAATCCTCAAACTACCTGTATGCTACAATGTAACTGTTGATAACCCTCAAATTTCACGGTAATGTACCTACTAGTTTTCTTCAAATTTTCTTACAATGTACCTATTACCATTTTTCAATTTTGCTACAAATTACCTACTTAAATTTATCTGTTAGATTAAGGACCTGCAAGAAATGCTATGCATACAAGTGGCTTTACAAGAAATCAATGTAAAATCATCAATGCAGTGTACTCTCATAAACCCAATGTACTTTCTTGTATATAAATAAATAAACAAATAAATAAATAAATAAATAAATTACCATTGAGGAGAATATCAAGGAATGAGAGAGGAACTGCAAAACATTTCCTGGAGGGAGCTGATAGGTGAACATGTCATGAAAGCATCATGGGGCAACTTTTAAAAAGGTCATCACTGATCTCATTCAAAAATGTGTGCCAAAAAGGAGAAAGGAAAGAAAAGAAAGGGAACTAGATTGATAATACAGGTAGTAAAACGAGTAGTGATAAGTAAACGGAACCTCTGGAGAATGTATAAATCCACGATGAACATCATTGATTATGAGAGATATGAAAGGGTAATAAACTCAGCCACCCAGGAAATCAGATCAGCCAAAAGAAGCTACGAAAGAAAATTTGCCCTAAACATAAAGAAAGATCCAAAATTATTCTATGGGTATATAAGAAGTAAACCCAAAACAAAGCACTCAGTATGACCCTTAAAAGATGAGACTAACCAGGTTATAATGGACGATAAAAGGGCAGCAAACACTCTGAATTATAAAAAAATCATAAAAAAGCTACAAAAGGCCATCTGGGTCCCAAGGGATGGACCAAGCAGGCACACTGGGCACAGGAGGCACTCACTGAATATTACAAACACCAAAGACAGCCTATGGGGTAACAAGGCAACTATGGTATAAGAGGTGTCATAGAATGAGTATGTGAACTACCTGCGCAAATCTTAAATGACAGTCCACAAAAACTTGCAGAGAAAAAGACCATGCACTATCAAGGTCAAGGCTACTTCCAACAGGATTTCCAAAGAGACCACTCCCCATCCCAAACCTAGAGAAAGTAACTCCGGCAAGACATGGGCAATGACAGCGAACACTCTACGCACGTGCAATTCGATTTAAACAAAGGCGAGGCATAAATATACATTGTGTAAAGCAAATACTAAAATACAAAGCAAATACACAAACAAATGGTCGTGACAGAAAACAAAAACAAAAGAGTCCAGGATAACTTACACTTATCTGAAAAAGCATGACTCTAAAGTCACTGGGGTGGGATGAGGAGCATAACAGCAAACGTTTATAACATTTAAGCCACACATAAACGTAACAGCTCACTCCTGATTGGGAGTTAAGGTTGGTGATCAAGGAGGAAGGTGTGGCATAGGTGTAACTAAAGTAATATTGCTTCAAGCGTCTCGGGGTGTCGCTGTCTCGATTTTCTATTGTTTACCTCAGTCATCTGTTTTAATTTGTGGAACTTTCTGGTGGCTTTTTCTTATTTACAAATCTTATTTTCTTATTTATTTTCGATTTACAATTCCCTGCTCCTTGTGCCTCTCTCAAGAGAGGCCAGGTTTTGGCCTTTGGTCCCCAGTAAGCTTATTTATGACTTGCAATGACCTGGTATGGATTGAATTGGATGGAGCTTGCCAGGCAGTAAATACCAAGGCAAGGAAAAAATCATTTTTCTTTCTATATTGTAAAACATGTTTTACTGATGTTAGGAAAAAATCTACTCATTTTAGGTTAGCTATAATGAGGTGTACAGTATAAATCTTGATGACATTATATTCTGAGAGATAATTTTCAAGTTAACTATTTGTAATAGATTCCTCATCACTATGGTCTTCCAGAGTCATGAAAGTATTGCATGGCATCAGTAGTTCGCAGCATGGGTATCAGGTAATGGGTGATGATGCACCAGACATGGTTCCCATCTTTTACCAAAGCCCAGGAAGGTAACTAAGGAATTCAAGATTTCTCTCCAATAAGATAATTGAATACCAGAGATCTCTATTGTCAAATGACATCCACATAGAATTGGCATAGCTCTCATCATGTAACTACATTTAGGTAATTACAGGCGATTGACACACTGGCTCTGTATCACTTGAGGGTTGGAACCAGTTTAGGGGTTAATATGCAAAATATTGGTAAGATAGTCTACTACTAGATTACATTTCAGCAGCTAGCATGTCAGAACTTTGTTGCTGGAAAGTCACTAGTGCATATGCAATACAAGAAAGGAAGTAATTATCAAAAGAAGGTACCAAGCTGGGATGCTATGTAGCACATATATGCAATACAAGTATACATATATTGCATATATGCAATACTGACCCTCCACCAGGATGCAACCCCACAACAAGCTAACCCCTTGGGTGCCTATTTACAGCTTGGTGAACAGAGCCATTAGGTGATAGGAAACGTGTCCAACCATTTCTGTCCTGCCTGGGATTCAAACCCAAAATTCCAAATTGAGAGTTGAGTGAATTCGACTGTACTAGCGGGAATTCTCTGTACAATAATTTTCAATAGATCTATACCTTTTTGAGATTGTAGATAATTTATAGGGAAAGTAAAGAACAAAAACTAATAATTATCTATTTTGTATAAGGCTTTGGCATTTACACCATTTATATGTAACAAGAACATTTGGTAGGTACTGAAAATGCCTTTGAGCATTAAGTAACAGAGAACTATGAAATGCAATTTTTATTTTACAATGCCTTCCATGAAGACTTTAATAAGCACTGAGAAATCATTCACATCCTCTTATTGTACTGTAGCGCACTTGAGATTTTAACTATTCATTATTGAGCAATGCCGTAATCTTTGCTAAATGAACAATAAACACTAATCCACAGCCATAGGCTTATAAGCATATTTGTTACATCACACATGGTTCTCAATTTAGTCCTCTTTTTTTCTTCTTCTTCTAGAGATACTGTTGTATATTGAACTCAATATTCAGTGCAACATTAAGTCTGGTCAATCACCAGCCTAAATTATCTGATTCAATATAGTTTAAAGTTCCATGGTCAATTTTGTTATTGACACCTTTCAATTTCCTATTCATCCACACATAATATTTACAAAATATTGTCTTCCCCAGACAATTCTTGTGACACCTTAACTTATGATGTGCTTCCCCGACTTATTCCAGCACAGCGCACTTACAACTGAACATTATTGTCATGAAATATTGTTAATTAAGACAAATGAACAAATTGTATTATGAATAAGAAAAAGACTGTCTTGAAATATGACTGCTTTACATAAATAAATGTAAAAGGAATAGATATACATACAATAATTAACTTCATATATACAAACAAATATTAAAGGTATGATACAATGGTGAGCTCACCAGCGCCGATCCCTTCCACCCCTCCCACCCATACTAAACCCTCTGCCTCCCCTTCCACCTCGTCGATTACCACTGCCTCCATCATCTCCATCTGAACGATCTCGTAAATTTCTGTTGAATGGTGCCTGTGGATTGGCCATACTATTTCCTGGAGGTCTATTGAAAGGGTTTGGTCCTATTGGCATGCCAGAATATGGTCCAGGCATTGGCCCCCAACCCCAGGGTCCTCCTGGGCCCATGTATGATCCAGGACCATTGGGAAATCCACCTGGTGCACCTGAGAAGTTAGCTCCACCACCAGGAAAATTGCCTGGTCCTCCTTGAAAAGTTCCAGGGCTAGAGAATGGTCCGCAAGGGCCATCTGATGAAGCAGCATCTGGTCCAGTAGGCCTGGCAGTTCCACTGCTCTCATGTGTTGTTGAATCATCTGCAACAAATGGTTTACACTTTTAAATTATGATATTTATATAAATATGTATTCTACAGCTGCAATTACTGTAAATTTAATAATAAATAATAATGTCTACTAGTAAAAATATGAGTATTCCAGTTTAATCCTTTAACTGCGCAACGCGCCTGCAGGCCCACATCTGAGGTGCGCTATGTGCCTCCGGGTATTTGTACTTTTCACGTTTCATTCAAAACTCCCGCAGCTACATGGGGGTTCACATTAGCTTCCTCAGGGCTCTTGTAAACAGATGCCATCTTTAAAAAAATCGTGGTCCACATTCCCGGGTGTGAGAGCCTCAGTACTGAGTGAACAACCAAGGCTGGCGCATGCAGCATGAGCTCACAGCACTGCTGTTCAGCTTGTGACCACAGCATCCCCTAATAATGTAAAAAACCCAGCGTTGAATGTAATGAAATGCTGTTTTCTGGGTGTGACCCAGAGGCTCCCCGGAGCTATACAGGCTGATATGCTAATGTCAGACTTTGCCATCAGTCATGTGTATGGAGTTCTGTGGGCCTACCAGGGACCACGAGCCAGAACCTGGCCCCCTCAGAGGCACGGGGAAGCAATGGCCTATAGAAACCCCCATGTGGTTGGAAGAATTCTATGTGAGGGAGTGAGGGAGAGAATCGAGGTACTGTAGCCTCACTGTGTGTGACAGCCACTCTTGTTTTGCTCATCATACTAACTTAGTGGTTTACTTTGGTGAACACATTTGTACATGGGTATATACAGTGTGTGTATATAGTGTAGTAAGAGCAACAGGAGTATGTTGGGAGGAGCTATTTTGGTGAGGGAGGCGACGTAATCGTAGCATCATCTGCTGGCTGCTGTGTGATTTCTCATGCAGTGTATGGTGGCCACTGTAAAGTTTGGACACAATACCGGCTTACTTGCATAGTTCTGGTGAATAAAACATGTAGATAGTTATACATAACATGTGCAAATAGTGTAATACAAACAATAACAGTATGGTGGGAGAAGCAATGTTGGCGAGTAAGATGTTGGAGGAATGAGGGAGAGACTGGATGTTGGAGGAGTGAGGGTGTGGCAGCTGACATTCGTGGAGTTCTGAGTGTGTTGATGGTGAATGTATATAGTGTATGATAGTGTATAGTGTGTAAATAGACTATATATATACACAAATTAGCATGATACAATGGAAATATGTGCCGGATATGTGTACGTGTCATGCACGTAACACGGTGTCTTCGGACATTACGGATGTTTTACTGCCACAATATAGTGTACGTGTTCATTATACATAGGATTGGCACGTAAAAGCATATAAAATGTATTTGGAACTGTGCACAGAAAATGATCAAAAATATATTCGCAGCAACTCGCGCATCCTGCCCCGAGCGCCCTACCGGCCCCGGGGACGTACGCCACGGGCGACCAGGGAATGACAATGTCACACATGAACTTACGGACCCCATAGCAGCCAAAGTACGTACAATTTCGACCTTCTGTTACTATACCCATACTCAGGGAAGGGATTTTGACACTTTCAAAACAGAAAAGATTTTTTCCAGAGATTTTATTTCCTGCGCACTGGGGAGTGTCATATTTGGAGGCCGCGCAGTTAAGGGGTTAAAATTAGTTGATAAAATACATTGATTTTAATCAATTACAAATAAAAAAATGCTATTCAGAGAGGAGATTTTTAAGTACAGTACCATATAGAGGAAACTCGATTGAACCCTTCTGTAGATTTTTGTTTAAACTACAAATATCTCTGCACAGAAAAAGGTTCTTACTGAGATAGAGTCAGAATGTGCTGCCTCCCCCAAAAAAACAGCGGTGAATGTAATGAAACGCCATTTTCTGGGTGAGCCCCAGAGGCTCCCTGTTGCTATTGGGCTAATATGCAATACATTAGTCTAGGGCATTAGTCAATGGAGTTCAGCCTACCGGGGATCACGAGCCAGAACCTGGCCCGGCCCCGCCCCCCCACGGTGAGGCACATGGAGCAATGGTGCCTGGAAAACCCCCCTGTGGTTGGGGTTTTTCCTAATCTACCATTGACTGGGGGTAAGGCACCCAGAAAGGTAGGCATAACAAAACAAACCCCACGTGGTATGAAAATTGCAACCGAAAACCGAACAGAGGCAGAACTCCCCCAAATCCCAAGGAAACAAGCCAACGTCACACCTTGCCGCTGCGCCACTTGTCCGTGCTACCTGAACCCAGCAGTGATTTGTACTCACCTAGTTGTGTTTGCGGGCACAACTAGGTGAGTACACAAGAGGAGCAGGGAGCAGGTGACACTTTGCCACTCCAAGAGAGAAGGCACCCAGAAATTCAAGGAAGCGATACATACCACTGCTGGGTTCAAAAGAGATGAAGCCTCATAACCCACCTAATGAACTCTCCCAACAATGTAAACAAAATATAGACTTTTGAAACACGCGTGCAACTGTTCACCCCCATCCCTCCCATTCACTGTGGCTAGGGAGGACTCTGCCAACACACAAAATAACTGTCCCTATTTTGCACTTGTTACAACTTGTAATAAAGTTGTTACATCATGTTAAAACATTTTTATGATGTATTGGAATGTTGTTACAACTTGCTATATTGGTTGTTACAACTTATTAGGTGTTAAATTTTTTTGAATGTTGTAGCAATGTTGCAGTTTCATCGTGTGTTTGGCGGGAAGGGCCTGGAGGTCATGCTGTCCACTGGCTCAAAGTCAGTTCTGGAGCAGATGCGTACACAAAACACATCCAACCGACATCCAGGAAGGAGGGTGTATCAGGAATCCTTTCTATTTTACTTTTGGCATTCTGCCCTCTTTGCCTCTTCTTGATTTTATATGATTCTTGAAACCTTAGCGCCATCATTTCTGTATCCCTACATAGCCTTGTCTGTTGTTCTTGGGATAGAGTTAGCCATTTGAGGTATTCTGAGATATGTTTTCATCACCTACAGAGACAGTGCCATTCTTGTTCCAGTTTGCATCTTTTTATCTTTCTCCTTAGTGACATGTGATGAGTTATCAGAACCAGCAAATATATCATCTTTATTTTCTATACCACAGAATGCTTTCCTGACCACAAATATTTATAAAATAAAAAGTTTACAGTGACAAGTAACAGTGTTGGCATAAGAGTACCAAAATGAGCAATAAAAAGACAGAACTCTGAAAAAAGATGCACTATAAATCCTACATAATTCTCAGCTACCATACAGCTTGAATAATCCTTAAGTGTCTGATACTAAGAAATACAATGTTGACACAAAAATATAAACATTGTTTGTTTATATGTGTATGTGCATACACACACACACACACACACATTAAACTCATACTTACACACAAAGAAAACCACTATAAAACAACAGCATAAAGCATCTCACCTGAATCTCCATTAGATCTTCTTGCTGCCTTTCTTTCATCTGGGATTAAACAAATAATGTGTGTTAGAACATAAATGATTAATGTTAAAATTAACTCCAAAATGAAGACTTAAAAACTAATATCTTTTAGAAGTAACTGTTAAATAAACAAAAAAATGTGTACATTTACTGCCTATGTAAATAATAATTCAGAATTCAAAACTGGGGGGTGTCACCCTGAAGAGCCACCGGACCGCAGCTACCAGCTCCCTGCAATGTTACTAAAAACCACCAAACCAACCGACTTCTTGAGGGCTTTAGGTTAAGAAACTCCACCAACACTAGTCAGAGAGACCGCAACACTTAAATCTACGTCTTTAAGTGACTAAGATATATCTGAAATGGACTTAGTGAAAAAAATAAAAATAAAATAATAGAGCAAAAGTAATAGTGGCACCTCTGGACCTTGGAGGATATTCCAAGTAAATTAGCTTGCAGAGTGATTGAATAAGTTAAAAATGGCCAGGCGGAATAGTCTTTTATGCAGTAAACATCACCTAAATAAGGTCTATAATCTACAAAGATAGGCAAATATATTAACTATGATTTCCAAGATATGATTTCAACTGGGAAAAGGAATTACACTATCGCATCATCTTCATTTCTGCTCAGCTGCATTACGTTCCTAACATACATAAAGGTTCCTCCAACACAGTATACACCTGCTCGTCGCTCATTAATGTTAAGAAAGTAAGTTCTAGAATATGGTACTTCAAGAGGTCTAAAATGACCAATAAAATAGGCAAACATTTACAGCTATTCCTTTCACATACTAGAGAAGAGACCTATCACAATAAACACATATCTATAGCAAATCATGTTTGGGAAACAAAGAAAACTAAACAAGCTTGAGGTAAATATGTAACACTGCTTTAAAATATACTGATTACAACTTGTCTATGTCATCTCATAAGTAGTATTTGCTCAATTATTAGGATTGCAGAACCTCTACTACAGTACTTCAACATTACACCTGAAAACATTATACATGTTAATGAAGGCTATCTCCCCTAATCTATATATATATATAAAAACTAAATCTACAATTATACAACACTACATTGTTCTAAAAGATTCACAAGAAGCATCTTACATTAGTGGAAACAAAATTAAAATGGGGCAGCAGGGAGTCAAAAATTATTTTTTTGAAGGTGGCTATAAAGGAAGCCATAAAAATATAAACTAATACACACCTAAAAGTCCATAAAAGGTTGATGATATATCAAAATAGGAAAGGGCAAACAATAACAACTGCCTGAAGGGTGCAATAGAATATCAGTGGTAAGAAAGTCTGTATGGATTTTTTTTTTTTTGAAAAGAAAGTACTTATGAGTATAAGGGGAAGAAAAGACTGCATAAATTGTAATTCTCCAGCATGCTCTTAGCCTGCCTTGGTGATCATAATAGGACATCTGCAACAGGGATATACTCTGGTACACCGCTACCCCATCAGCGCAGCATCAAAATGCCTGTCGAGAGAGATCAGACGGATGAGTGGGTACAAACCTTGCGGGCTACATGATCTTTGTCTCTTCATGCCGGGCTCTGGGGTTTCCTCCCGCCCTCTTGCAGTACCCCCAGCACCCAGGAGGGCCTCGGCCGGAGGGGGTGGGGGTGGCGGTGGCATCAGTAGGGATGCAGTCATATCTCTGGCCACCCTAGGGGTAGTAAACAGGATGCAAATTTATAGATGGTGAAGATTCAGCCTGGTTTTCTTCTCAGACTCTTGGGAGTAGAACAGTACAGAACAAACTGTGTCTTGTCACACAACTTTCTGAAAGTAACTTGAGGAAATGTGACAGCAACAGCCTTGGGCACATTTGCTAGTGTCTACCTTTGAATACAGTAAACTGTTGATTTTCTTGGCAGCTGTTTAGATGAGAGATGTATTATTATATGCAAATAATGCATATAACTAATCCATGATGCCCACCCCCACCCAAAAAAAAGAAGACAACTGCAAAAGGAGGAGACACTACCACTTTTCAAGCAAAAATATGAACAACTGCACTGGCCAGAATTGCAATCAAGCATTTAAGGGTTGCTTGAATCAAAAGGCAATGCCACTTAAACTGTGCACCACCTTTAATATAGTACTACACAACCAAATATATATGAAAGCAATTCCTTTGTGTCCTACAATCTAGTAAGAACATTACTAGCATAGCATCCTATGGATCAGCATTTCAATTACAGTACTGTAAAGAAAAAACAAAAATGAAAGCTGATCATTTTCTGCATTAGACATTTCTAAAATGCAGATTAAGCAAACCACTTCACTGACTGACAATCAAACCAGAGCCAAAAAGCTTATGGGAACAAATGTTTGAGTATGACATTTTCTATTATATTATACAGAAAATTGAAGGTATCAAATCCTGCTGAAACTTAAATTGTGTATACTGTACAACTATTTCAGAACAATTGAAGTAAAAACCTTTTAAATTTACTTATATATCTAATATAACTTGGGACTTGAGGGGGAGGAAGGAGGAGCATTGTGTCAGCATCTGAAAACACAGGACACCTACTCAATGCATAACAACATTAGATGAAATACACAGCAACTTAGAGAACTGCAATTAATTCAAAATATATAACATTCTTTCATCACTGTTAAACAAACTGTAACCGAGAAGGTCTCCTCATGGCCATCAGACCTAAGTAGATATAAAAGGTCTCTTCACAGACATCAGACCTAAGTAGATACAAAAGCTGTATCGGTTAATGGGCATGCATCTAGTTACCACCCGGTAAACTGTTGCCATGTACAGCAGTAATTGGTTTTGAGGACAATGCTACACTAAGTATTATTCCAAAACACCAGACAAAGTTAATGCCAAGGCAGTACAAAACTTAACTGAACTTAGATGACCACAAAGTCTGCGAAGAACACATAATTATTATGACATCTTTCCGTGCAAAACAATGAACTATCCTCTTACAATCATGTTCGTTAAACTTAATAAATTAATGAGGCAGTGAAGGAGTTGACAATAACCTTATGTGCATGCAAACTGCACTATCCGCTTCTGCTTCTTCACGGATAATAAACAACACCTGTGGAACGTCGTCTCAAACTCCAGCATACCAGTTCTAATTGCAACTCTCGTCCATCAACAAGATTAAGGCTAAGGACATATAAAATAATATAAAGATACCTTGTAAAGCACAGCCCTCTTGTAAAATTTAAAACTCTCAGTAAAAAATTAACTTATAATACCAATCCTTGTCCCAAATGGGTGGTACACAGCAGGAAGTCTCAACCTGTGAAATGAACTATCAATAATCTGACAAAAGTACACTAATATTTAGCTTTCTTGATATAATTTGTCATCAGAACTAAACTCCTAACTGTCTACATTCAACATGTGGATATAATATTGAGAAGATGGATAAAGTACAGTATATTAAATATATGTATAAAATAAACAACTATCCTAAACAATGAAAAATTCTAAGATGCATTATACAAAAAACAAAAACATTTAAAACAAAGTAGACATGTCAAGAGTGAAGGAAGAAAAATGTTTCACAAAAACTTTCGTGCGAACTTTGAACTGGTAAACAGGACTACCGACAATATACCAAAGGACTGCATCAATTCTGTAATATTACTACACAAATATTCTTGTGCGTTAATTATGTATACTTGATAAGGAAATTTAATGTGCATTAAGAAAATGAAAGAAACATGGCAATCAAAAGTGATCCAGAATGCAATTGAGTAAAATTGTTTCACGAATTACGAATTACCATTAGTTGAGAAAACACTTATTATCCATGGTGAATTAAGAGCTTAAAATAACAACAACAACGAACTGCTGAGCTTTACTCATAGGATGTGCAAAGCTATGCACTGAAGTTAAAAAAAGGACTGCAACTAATAATGAAAGCATAGTGACTAAATAAATGTTGCATTAGGCTTTGCAATGTGTAAACTGTTAAGCACTATCAAACAATATTTTAAGAGCATAGAAAGACAAGTTATAGTAGTAAGAGAGAATTCTTTAACATCATGACACTAGAAATGAGTACGAGAATGATATCACAAGTGTCAAATATGGTTAGGAAGACCATACTGTATAATAATCAGATTTATTTTCTAAAACATATTTCAATTACATTAACATAAAAAATCAATGGTGAATGTAATGAAATGCCAATTTCTGGGCAAGCCCTGATGGCTCCCTGAACCTATATGTTGAGAAGGTACCATCTACTAGGTCGCATCAGCCATGGAGTTCTATAGGCTTAATGGGAACCAAAGCTGGAGCCTGGCCCCCACACAAGAGGCACAGGGAGCGGTAACTTTTTTGCCACCTCACCTGGGAAGGCAACCAGAAAGTCAGCTAGTCAAAACAAACCAATGCTGGATTGAAAAGGGACTGAAGCCTCAAAGATTGCCTAAGAACGCATCCAACAATGTAAACGAACGATCAAATTCTCTTAGAACTAATATGAGCTAGTTCACTCCCCTCCCCCACTTGTTAAGGGAGAGAGGGGCAGTAGCTCACCGTCTGCCAGGCTCTAAGCTGTCAGTTCTTGAGCAGATGCAGACACCCACTCGATGACCTGGAAGGGAGGGAGGGGATCAGGGAGCCACCAGGGCTCACCCAGAAATTGGCATTTCATTAATTTTAACACTAGTTTTCTGGGGTAAGTCCCTTGTGGCTCCTTGAAGCTAACTACTCATGGAGAAGGAAAAAAACATGACAACGTCCCAGGAAGGAGGGAGCACAGCACAATGTTCCAAGGAGGAGGGTCTCGTCTTTGTCCCGATGAAGGCGAGATCACTGGTCGAGACACGACCCAAGGTCACACTAGGGTGCAGAGGCCAGGGAACATTTGCCAAATACTAGGCTACCAGAACCCTGTTTCACCTCCACAACCACCGCACCCTAATATTGGGCCAGGACATGTTTGCAAACACAGCCTGTTTCCAAACATCATGGGCACAAGAGTAGATCACAGGCTGGCCAGATTTTATAACTTTGCAGACAACCTCGGAAAGAACCCTACCTAATAGGACTTGAGCTGAGCTAGACCCGAAGCAACAGCTGAACCAGGGGGAAAAGAGGTACAGGTAAACCCACCTTGACCAGTCCTGCCAAAAAGTGTCTACTGTGACAGCGCGCAGTCAGGAAAAGGCACCACATAGACGGGAAGACACCTTGACTACGCTGACGCGAAGAGGTCCATCTCCAAGGGCCCGAACGTCTGGCAGAGCCAATGGAAAGAGTCAGCATCGACCATCCATTTTGTGGACAGGGGAAGGAACCGTGACAGGTCATCTGCCAGAGCGCTGGACATACCCCAGATATGAACTACACAGAGAGCTAAACACCGAGAACTCAGCAGAAAAGCCACCCAAGGCGACCAGCCCCAAGAGCCACAGACAGCAGAGAGACCCTCCCCCAGACACATGTAAACTAACAAGGCGCAGCACCGTCCTGGCGGCCGGGCCAGAAGCACACGCAGAAAAGCAAAATGGCCACCATAACAAACCAGCCAAGGCGATGCGCCTGAATCAATGGCGCCGAAACCTCACCTGCAAAAGTGGGAAACCAATGCAGATGAGAGGAGGGGGACAAAAGACCCCAACCCAGAAGGCACAAAAGCCCATGCTCTGCTGGCGGGCTTTCCCCAAAGTCCCGGGACAGAACTGGTCTCAACCCCTCCACCCTTGAAGAAAGGGCAGCAAAGAAAGAGTCCTGCTGGAAGGACCTAGATGCCTTGACAAGAGGAATAGGCTCGAATGCCTCCGTTCCCTCACTGGATTGCGGGGACGGAGGCAACCTCCTGGAGCCACCCGAATCTCATCCCCAGCTAAACCTGTCCCGACTCCGAAACCCTCAAACGTTTGGGAGCTGGCAACATGGGGGAGGAGAACGGTGAACCACACCAACAAAGGGTAGACGAAGAGGTGAAGACTGAACCAAGGTTGATGTGACCAATGCCTCTAAGTCTGGGTCCCTGAAAACTAAAACGGGGCAGCCCCAGGGCATTCGAGCAGGCAACCAACCTAGCAAATTGCAGCAACCTAAATCTAGTATGCAATGTGCATTCTGCTTGACCCCTAACTTCAGCTACAGCAGAATGGGTAAATTGGAGTATGAACAAGCGAACAATTGTCGCAAGTCTCTGGGTCAAAGGTGTCGTTGACCCAACAAGCAGCATGACAGAAGCAAAACAGCTGATCATCACTCTGAGACAGGGGTCAACAAACAACACTCAAACTCGCACAAGGCGAGAAGGGGCTCAGAAGACACATCCAAAGGTCAACTAAGCCTCGATGGGGTTTTATGGGAAGCCCAGGCACTGCACTGGTGCCACCAGAGCCAGCTGTAACCCCGTATGTATTCGAGCAAACTGGCCCCTGTGAAGTGAGCAACCTCAGAAGCCCAGAGGAGAACTGCCCTACTGAACCTAGGTATCACCTAATAGGAACTTTGGCAGCCTCTAACGGGCAAAAAGAAAACTAAAAGTAGGAAAGAGAACCCCTGAGAAAACACCACAACCCAGGGGGACCAGAAAGAGGCACGGCCACTGCAATTATGCAAACTGGGCAGCACAGTGCGCCCCAATCAGCAACAAACCACTCACTACCCAGGGTCAAATGAAAGTACCGAGACCTAAGCTGACCCCAAGGGCGAGG